AACCTGGTATTTGATGAGTTATGCGGTATCTAATATACTAAGTTACGATGTGTCTTCCTACATGCCGTTTACTTACTCCTGGAACGCAGCCTGAGGTTTTGCTGGGCCAGCAGTGGTCGGTTCCTCCAGCAACGTGTGTTAACTATTTCTGCTTTAATTTCTTTTCACTTGGGCATTGACGTCGCGGACTATTTGTGCTCTTGCCTGTTCATTCGTCTTCCTATCTTTTCTTGTTATTCTGAAGTGCGTCTTTCCATAATGTGTTGCGCAATCGGCAGTTCATGAACAGCCTACACGATTAGGTTCCACATTTTACGTTGATAGATTTGCACTGAAGAAACTAACAATGTTGCGAAAGGATCCAATCATCGCTGGAGAAGAGAAACGCTGGAGTGAGTTCCAGGGGAAGAAACGACTCGCAAGTAAACCTCAAAATTGATAGCAGAATCAGCTGAAGAAGTTCACTGAATCAGATCGTGGATTAGAATCGCATAGGCAGGGGTTTATGGCAAGGTATGGAATAGAACTTCTTCCAGCAGTAAATGGAGGAGAAAAGCTGATCATGATTTTGGTATTATTGCTTCAATATGTCTTTTAAAGATAAACAACAAACTCCATGATGACTAGTTTGAAATACTCATTTTTCATGTGAAGAAATGTTGTTTCGATTAATAGCTGCGGCTGCATGTTTCATTACCCATTGTTCCGTACACTGTTGTATTTATGTGTGCAGTATGTTATTTTAGTGTAATTCCTCGAATGTCTTACTTGTGATGAATAATTTTTCTACTCGCCGTTAGCATGGGTTTATTTTAATATATTGGTGGTAATCTATCTGACGTCATTTCCTTCCTTGAATGAAAAATCATCGAAAACTGTAGTTGAATCGGAAGTGGAGTAATAATTATAGTTCTGTCAACGTCAAAATGGAAATTAGCATTGATTCGTGCATGCTCTCGTTCGTTCTTTCATTCATTCGCTAATTCCTTCTTTCCTCCCTGCATTTATTCATTAATGTACAGAATTTTTATAAGTCAGATGAGTTGCATTAAGCGCATTCGAAGATGCGACAATGTCATGTTCTCACCAATCGGTGGATCTAGTACGCAATCTGATGTTGGCTGTCTTCATGGTGACTGGTGTGCCACACCTGACATCCTGATTTCACATCCAAGCCATCGCAATTAGGATTTTGAATCGGACAATGTATTTGCATGGGAGAGTATTCGGATATTCAAGTTCCAAAGCTAATCGCACCTCATCGAAGCACCATTCGTTTGAAGAATTCTCATTTCTATTGCATGTACCCGAAATCAATATTCTCATTAATGGCAGTAGGCTAGAGTGGTGCGCATAAGAATCTTGAAATAACTTCTCATAGATATTTCACTGTTTGACAACAGAACGGTTGGATTCTCACGTCACTGTCCTTGTTTGACAGATTAATTTATTGACTTACACCGTCAGTGCGGATACTGACTGAAAATGACGAAATTTGAAACAGTTCACTGCTGCAGATGTTGTCGTAATCTTCAACTGACACAGCCTGAAAGTCAATTTCTTAAAATAGAAATTCAGATTGATGTGACAGGTTTTGTTTAAAGACAGTTAATATCCATCATTTTGAATAAGCTAGCATCTTAGCCGCGAGTCTTCTCATAAATAAGCGTTGTGGGCAAGTTCTTGACTTCGTCTAATAAGTTTTCTCAAAATTATGTTATTCTTTTATCTCAGATTTTCTATGCGATATCAATAACATTTGATCTTAGGAACATAGCTTTTATTTATCCGTTGCAGCTTCGCCTTTCATAAACAAAATCCATCGCCTGCTTGAATTAATTACCTACCTGTACCAAGTAATGTGGCGTATTTCAGCTTGTTGATTGGTTCACAGACCATTTTGCAAGATAAGTGAGATACCTGAACTGAAACGACTCAGTGAAAGCCACAGAATTCTGACAGACAATTGCGTTTTACCTCTGACACACCCCGCAAAATATTCTTCAATATAATGAATAGCATGAGACTAAGTGCTGAGAGATACTGTTTCAACAACTTCAACTGTAGTAATGAATTCTGTTTTTTAAGCGGTATGTTCCTCATAATGAATAAACCTGTTTTACTTTAATTCAAACCTTCTTCATCCCAGTTATGGTACCAACAAAGTGACAGAAAAACTATCCATCCTCTTCATTGCTGGTATTTCGGTGAACCTCAGATGTTGCCTTCGAGAATTAACTTCCCAATTTCTTGGTTAACTCATAACCCCCGTGGTTCTAGTTTGCATATGTAGCTGAATCCAATAACTAGCTCAGACAAAATGATAACGGTCATAGAATCTATTCTTTTAAATCAGATATTAAGGAACGCTGATTGCGATTGCAAGGAATCGCTCAGACCATGCTGACACTGTTGGATACGTCTTAGACTGCAAACAGTTTAAACAGTGGAGAAGTCACGATATTTGATGTAAAACAGACAATTTGCAGCTCATTATTAAGTTATCCTAATGATGTGCAAAACCTAGAGGAATTCTGTGGACATCTGTTCAGCAGTCTGGAAGTCTTTGATGCAAGTCCCATCTAATGTTTATAAATTCAGTTCCTTTACCACAAATATTTTCACCTGTTTGTTTCCTTTCTTCCTTTTCCGCCAACTTTTTACCACATGCTGTATGGACGTCTTTCTGTGCTAACACATCAGATTTTTACCGTAAACCTTTTTATGAAAATTTGTTTTTATCGCCGTGATGGTAGTTCCATTGCATTGTGCAGAAACGTCAAATTTATGTTTAACATTAATCACACCTAAAATCATCTTTTATGGAACAAGTGTAGCAGAAATATCGAATGCTTAATTTATTAAACAAAGAGTACACCAACTCCGCCATGGCCGGTCCGAAGCCCGGAAACTCCGCCATGGCCGGTCCCAAGCCCGGATGAGAAAGGAGGAGGGTTGGAGACCGTGGCAAAGTCTCCGTAAAATTCAGCCACCTGCCACTCATGGCATTGACGCGTTCGAAAATTATACCGGCTCGGTC